CCCCACTTCACTATTATAAATCACTGAAATATTGGTGGGAGAAACATTTAATATTATAAGTTTACTTATTTCCTACTTATTGAATAGGTAATTTTCATTAATTAGTTTAGAAATTTTGCATGAAAGTTCGCAGTTTCATCATTTTATATCTTCTAAGAAATGTAGTTGATATGGAACATAATCTTGCATAAACATCGATCCGGGTGGACCAAATCAATCCGGATAGACCGTATCCGTATATCAATCCCGGTTTAAAGGTACCTCGACGTCAAAGCCCAATTTTAAAGGATTCGGACATCGATCTCGGTTTAAAGGTACATCAGTGCATCAATCCTATACAAGTTAAGGACATCGACTATACTCGTACATTGATCCGATTCGTGAGTATTTGTACAGTGGTCGATCCCTACAATCCGGGTGATAGACCCTTAATTATCAAGCGGGTCGATCCGCGCAAATATTATAAACCTAAAGTATCTGTACGATGGATAAAAACTTATATATAATGAAGGCGTTAACTGCGAGAGGTAAGACAACATTTAAAACGTAAAATTTACATTATTGCCACTTGCAAGTTTATCTTCCTTCGCGAGATTCTAACTTAAGCATATGAGGGTCTTTTTGCCAGAGCAATTTCGACACTCTTTTGTAGGTATTCCATTCAATCCCCGATTCAATATCAGATCGGAGTCATCTATATTGGACCATGTAGTAGTGATTAAATATGCAAAACTAATTTACTTAGTTAATTTAAAACAATTTTATTTGTTGTTTGAAGGGATTTATTGGTGTCCAATATGATCAAATAAATTAATTATAGTAGGTCTCATGAATAATGTGTGTTTTTTCCTTTTTTTATGTGTGAAGTCAACCTATGTTAGGGTTATATGGGCATGTTGACGTGTAATACGTAAGGGATGATTAGCTTCGAAGACTAAATATATTTAGTCATGTTCTTTTTTTTTTTTNNNNTTATATATATATATATATCTGGCTGTTCTGGTAGGGGTGACAGGCTTCAGGTTATTATGAGCTGCTTTTATCCTTGTTAGTTATAAATTTGTTTAGTTTGTTTGTGAAAGATTTTTTTTGGTATGAAGTTCAAAAATAATGTATTGAAGATATAATCTTGCAAGCAAAAGAAATGTGAAAAGTGAATATATTCTTTATTCGTGTATAATTATTACTAGTACAACACCCGTGTATTACACGGGTTCTTGCTAATTTTTTTCTTAAAATCTGAAATTAATGAGAAAAAGTAGTTTGAAAATTTAAATACCTTTTATAAGAATATATATATTATTATATATTTGTTATGGCACTTTTTATTTATGCAACTTACTTGTGTTATATTATACTAAATTTTTTTTAACTTACAATATATAACTACATTACATATAAATATATCAATTAAAAAATAATTTTATTTTTCTAATGATTTTCAATAAATATTATTATTTTTTATTATTATAAAGATAAATATAATTTATTTATTTCATATATATACAATATGGATGTCAAATCGAAGATCATCAAAATATGATTAATTTGATATATTATATATGTAAAACCGATAAGAAATACAAAAGTTATCAACTTTTAAAATATATTTATAATTCAATAGCTTATTAAAGGAAACAAATCAAAATTTAGGGATATATTAGTCACTTAGTGCCTCACTATGTAAAATTACAAAAAATTAAAGGGTTATATTACTAAAAGTGATATTAAAATACCTAAATTAGGTAAATAATATTTATGGAATACCCGAACCTAGATTATTAATTATTAATATATCAATATTATTTATCCAAACCTAATTACGAAGCATGATTTTTCGCCAAATAGGATTACGAAGCACCAGAAGTAGCCACGTAGGCTCAGCGCATTCTGTAATTATATATAGAGAGGATTTAAATAATTTTTATATACATATTATGTAGGTCGCAAAAGATTGTGTGATCTTATGTTTGGTTATATGTTGTAGGAAAATTGGATATATACATGGAAGAGGCAATCGACTTATTTGGAAATGATATGAAGGAGAAGTACAAAGAAGGATGCAATATTAACTTGCCATGTTTGAACCACATCAATTAGAAGGGAATCATCCTTGAAGGAAAATGAGTAGCTATTTGAAGAAGCTACATATGTTTGTCTTGAAGATCAGTTGGAGGTTGCTGAGAGTTTCGTTATTCTGATATCATTCGAGCATTCAATTGAGAATACAAGAAGTTTGTTCTTAGATTTTCTTTTGATACATAGTCCTTCGGTGTTCTTACGCCATTGATGAACTGAGTTTGTTTTTCTTTGGTTTTTCATTCAGATACTTTGTCGCAGTACTTAAGGATTAAGTGTTGGTTTGCTCGAGGGATTCGAGTGTGTAATGTCTACAGGTTGTGGCCAGAGAAGTAGTTGGCGGGATCGAGTATAGTGTGGATTAGGCCAGAAGAGAGTTCTAGTTGCATAAGTCCAAACTATACAAGTGTGCACAATCGATCTATTAATGGAAGATCTTTGAGGGGCAGTGGGACGCTCCTCGAAGAGTTTTTTATCTTTTGTTTGTGCTTCCGCAGTTCTACTTTATGGTGTTACAACACAGTTACAAACACAACAATTCCACGTTCTACCACAATTTAGCGCACTCTTTATCATATACCCACATCTCAGTTTGGTTGGTGTTTAGGCTGCATGATGTTGGTGTAGGCCTCCCATTTGCCCAGGCTTATTCGGTTGACTTCGTACTCAACTCATTCTGGTTTCCTTTTCTATGACTATATGTCGTTAGATAAAAAAAAAAAGAGTCGAGCCAAAATCGAACTTTTAATACTTGAGCTCGACTTGAACCTTTTATTAGGTAGAGTCGAGCAAAATAATTTAATATATGAGCTCGAGCACAAGTCATTATTGAAAAAATAATGAGCCGAACTCGAACTTTAACGAGAAGAGTTCAAAAAATTATGTTCAAACTCATATTTTCGAACTTATCGAGCCTTAAGTTTCGTTGACAAAATAAGCTCGTAACGATCTTCTACTCGCCTGATCATTTAGGAGCCGAACTCAAATTTTTACGAGCAGAGCTGACGAGCTACTCATTTCATATAATTCTACATAAATAACATAATTTGTTTCTAACTTATTGATAATATTTTTCACTAACAACAAACAAATTTTATTCAACTCGTAACTTACAAAAATAGAGAATTCAAATCTTAACCAACCTAATTGTATTTAAAAAAAAAAAAACCAGCTCTAGTTTCATTTAATTTCACCTCCTAACGATGTCGTTTCAGCCTGCAGCAGCACCAAATTACCGACATGTCTTCTCTTTCCTAAACCCCTTTATCCTCTTCTCTTCTACACTGCTCAATCAAGCTAAACCCCCTCTCTCTCTCTCTCTCAAAACACACACACACACACACACACACACACACTGAGCCAATAATGGCCATGCCTTTCCTCTCTCTCCCAACATTTCCTCCACCGCAATCGATCTCCTTCCTCCCCAAGCTCAGGTCCACTTCATTCAGCCTCCTTCTCAAGCCGCCCCTCCTAACCGCTTCCACCGCCGTCTCCGCCATCGGCCCCGACGGGAAATACTACCCTACCCCCGCCGACGACGACCCCCCGGAAGCCCCCGAAGACTCCATGCACGGATTCAACAAATTCCAGCAAATTCAACGCCAGGCGGCCCGAGCCCGCAAAATCCAGGAAGAGGAGAACAAGAAGGACCTGCCCGTTTTCCTCAAGGCCATCGAGGAAACCGAGGTCAAACCTGTCTCCGCCAGCAGCGACGGCTCCGGGGACGATCTATTTGGGGAAATCGACGAGGCTATCGCCCTGAAGCGCGAGGAATTTATCAACAAGGGGCTTATTAAAAAGAAGCCCGAGCCCGAAGAGGCGAGCGTCGACGAGCTAGACCCGGAAGAAGCCCTTGATTTGGAGGAGATCGACCAACTCCGAGTGCTGGCCGAGGTTTCAGACGACGAGCCAGTAGAGGAAAGTGAAGAAGTCGAGGCGAGTGATGGAGATTTATCGAAATCATTCGACATTGATCTTGATGCGTTAGGTAGGACGAAGACTAGGATTGTTGAGCCTAAGTTCAAGATCTCCTTAGCCGAACTACTAGACGAAAGCAAAGTGGTACCTTTAGCTGTCTATGGTAACCTAGAGGTCGAAATTAGCGGAATCTCCCACGATTCCCGGCTTGTAGAGAGTGGGGATTTGTTCGTTTGTCGTGTTGGGAGAAATACAGACGGCCATCTCTATTTATCCGAGGCGGACAAGAGAGGTGCTGTTGCTGTTGTTGCCAGTAAGGAAATAGACATTGAGGGCACATTAGGATGTAAAGCCTTGGTCATTGTAGAAGACACAGATGTAGTTCTAGCTTCACTAGCTGCTTCATTCTTTAGGCACCCCTCTAAAAGCATGTCCGTTATTGGCATAATGGGAACAAACGGGAAAACGGCTACCACTTTCTTGATAAAAGGGGTGTACGAAGCAATGGGTTTGAGAACGGGCATGTTGAGCACCGTGGCAGATTGCATCTATGGGGATAATAAGCTGGAGTCGGACAAAAAACCCACGGATGCAATTTCGGTCCAGAAGGTGATAGCCAAAATGGTGCACAATGGGACAGAGGCTTTAGTCATGGAGGCTTCTTACCATAGGCTCGCATCCGAAAGGTGTGACGAGGTGGATTTTGACGTGGCAGTCTTCACGAACTTGACGAGAGACCACTCGGATTTCAAAGGCACAGAGGATGAGTACAGGGAAGCTAATGCCAGGCTGTTCTCGAGGATGGTGGACCCCGCACGTCACCGCAAGGTGGTTAATATCGACGACCCAAATGCGGCCTTCTTTATCTCTCAAGGGAACCCGGATGTGCCGGTTATTACTTTCGCAGTGGACAACAAGAATGCCGACGTGCGTCCATTGAAATTCGAGCTTTCCTTGTTCGAGACGCAGGTTCTGGTGAACACGCCTGAGGGTATATTGGAGATTTCATCCGGGCTGCTCGGGAGGTTCAACGTGTACAACATTCTTGCAGCTGTGGCAGTTGGCATTGCTGTTGGGGCTCCTCTGGAGGACATTGTTAGAGGGATAGAGGAAGTTGATGCTGTACCGGGCAGGTGTGAGTTGATAGACGAGGAACAGGCTTTTGGGGTTATTGTGGACCATGCGAACACGCCGAATGGGCTGTCTAGGCTTCTTGATAATGTGAGGGAGCTTTCGCCGAAAAGGATAATTACTGGTACGTGTTGTGTTCTGTTTTGCCTTCTTCACATGTTTAAGGATGTGGGCTCTGAGTTTGTATGTTTGCACCTTACCCTGTAATTGTTCATGTTGTTTTACCCTGATCTCTCTGAATTTGTCTTTTTAGTATAGATTACTTTGAAGTGTTATCAAAATTCTTGTATAGGTCAAATGAACTTGAAAACTGTGGGCCAATGTTGGTTGCTATCTACAGCTATGTTTTTCCTGTCTGTGTACTTTTGAGATGATTCACTGACTTAGTGATGTTAGCAAAGCTGAAGGGGGCATGTAGTATCTCTGTTGATCTGTAAGCTTTGTTGTATAAAAACGAATGAACTGGAATGAAATTGATGGGTTTCTATTTGGTGGTCCATGTACAAGTATGATTATGAGTGGTCTTTCAATCCCATTTTTGGTTAATCTCAATTTGGAGTTTGCTTAAGTTAATTATGTACTTCTAATTAGGTTGCATCCTTACATCCCGGAAAGAGAGCCAAATACTTGTAATATCAGAAAAGTAAAGATGCTTGGAGGAGGAAACTATAATCAATTCTGTTGTTATTGCGAGAAAATATTGAGTGGTAACTTCCTGCTTTGATGTAAAATAATGATAATTCTTGTGGTCGAGATTAGGTGTAGAGCTCAAATCTTCCTTCAACTAATGGACCTTGAAATCCCTGACCAGGGAGAACTTATAACTTGTTATACAATGGTTTTTGTATCTTTTCTTACCTCCGGTTCTATTTTATTCTCACTTCTCAGTCTACTTTGGATTTTCCTTTTTTTTTTTTTTTCTTTTTTAAAATTGAATTATTGTTACATAAAGCAGTTGTTTTTCTTGACAAGTAGTCATTGTTGTTGTTGCTGCTGGCTGTTGTTATTAATATTTATTATGTATTGTGAACTAAGAAGCACATATTGAATCATGACACGGTAACATTAATCATCATTGCATATACGTGCACAAAATTTGGGAGTTCATCCTAAGTTCAAACTTGACATGATTCTCCTTTGATTTATTTAGTGTTCGGGTGTGCTGGTGAAAAGGATAGAGGGCAGAGGCCCCTGATGACAAAGATAGCTACAGAGAAAAGCGATGTCACAATCTTGACATCAGACAATCCGGGAAATGAAGATCCTTGTAAGTGCTTGAGAATACTTCAATGTAATGAATTTGTCTTATTGACTGCAGTTAATTGACAAAAAAAAA